GACGCTGCCCTCTCTGGTGGGGCTCAATGCCACCCGTCTGGCAGCCAGTGCCGGCGGCCCCGACAGGAGCACCGGGGTGAGTGACCCCCTCCCCTCCCTCCCTCCATCCCCTCCCTCCCCATCCCCTCCCCATCCCCTCCCTCCCCATCCCCTCCCCATCCTCTCCCTCCCCATCCCCTCCCTCCCCTCCCTCCCCATCCCCTCCCTCCCCATCCCCTCCCTCCTCTCCCTCCCCATCCCCTCCCTCCTCTCCCTCCCCATCCCCTCCCTCCCCATCCCCTCCCTCCTCTCCCTCCCCATCCCCTCCCTCCCCATCCCCTCCCTCCCCATCCCCTCCCTCCCCATCCCCTCCCTCCTCTCCCTCCCCATCCCCTCCCTCCCCATCCCCTCCCTCCCCATCCCCTCCCTCCCCATCCCCTCCCTCCTCTCCCTCCCCATCCCCTCCCTCCCCATCCCCTCCCTCCTCTCCCTCCCCATCCCCTCCCTCCCCATCCCCTCCCTCCCCGGGGCGGTCGTTTTGGGGAAATCGTTTATACCGAGTCCTCTGATCGGGTGTGTGTTCTTCTGGTGTGGGACTGTGGGGAAAGGGGGGTAGAGAGTCTGGGGTAAGGGGATGGGGGGCTGGGGGGAGGAGAGAGGGGGGAAGGAGAGTGGGGGGGAAGGGGTGGGGGGCTGGGGGGAGGAGAGAGGGGGGAAGGAGAGTGGGGGAGAAGGAGAAAGAGAGATGGGGGAGGAGAGAGAGGGGTAAAGGAGAGGGGGGGAAGGAGAGAGAGGGGGAAAGGAGAGGGGGGAGAAGGAGAGAGAGAAGGGGAAAGGAGAGGGGGGAGGAGAGAGAGAGGGGGAAAGGAAAGGGGGAAGGAGAGAGAGGGGGGAACGGAGAGGGGGGTAAGGAGAGAGCGAGAGAGGGTTGAGGGTAAAGGAAACAGAGAAGAGGGGAGTGAGAGAGAAGGGGGGAGGAGAGAGAGAGAGAAGGGGGAAGGAGAGAGAGAGAGAAGAGGGGTGAGGAGAGAAGGGAAGGAGAGAGAGAAGAGGGGTAAGGAGGGAAAGGGAAGAGGGGGGAGGAGAGAGGGAAGAGGGGGAAAGAGAGAGAGAGAAGGGGAAGAGAGAGAGAGAGAGAGAGAGAGAGAGAGAAGGGGAAGGAGAGAGAGAGGGGCGAAGAAGAGCGAGAAGGGGTAAAGGGAGAGAGAGAAGGGAAAGGAAAGAGAAACGAGGGGAAAGGATGGATGGGGGGGGGGGGGGGAAGGAGAGAGACAAGAGAAGGAAGGGGAGAGAGAGGGAAGATGAGGAAGGAGAGAGAGAAGGGGGGGGAGTAAAGAAAGACGGGGAGGGCCGTGTCCCCCCCTTCCCCCCATCCCCCTCCTATTGCAACATCATAAAACTTTTGCTTTCATTTTTCTAAGTAATCTGACATCTGTCTGGGGCCAAGGATGTCTCTCCCTCTCCTCCCACCCCCCACCCCCAACCCCTCTCATTCTCTCCTCCCTCTGTTTGCCCCCCTCTGTCTCTCCCCCCCACTATCCCGAGGCTCTCTGCTCTCCCCCACTCCACACACACACATAAGAATGAATGTGCAAAGTCTTAACAGTTTTGTGCGTCTGTTTCGTTGATGTTCGCAGAGACCTCTGCGTTATTTTTTAAGATGCGACAGAGAGAGAGAAAGAATAGAAGGGAAGGTGGGAGGGGGAAAGAGAGAGAGAGAGAGAGGATAGATGGATGGAGAGGGGGAGAGATCTTGGAGGAGAGGGGAATGTTGAGAGGGAATGCAGAGAGAGGGTGGGGGGGAATGGGGAGAGGAGGGGTGGGGAGAGATACAGGTGAACTGGGGGAGCTATAGAGAGAGATGGAGGGGGGAATGGGGAGAGGAGGGTGGGGGAGAGATACAGGTGAACTGGAGGAGCTATAGAGAGAGAGGGAGGGGGAAATGGGGGAGGAGGGGTGGGGGAGAGATACAGGTGAACTGGGGGAGCTATAGAGAGAGAGGGAGGGGAAATGGGGAGAGGAGGGGTGGGGGAGAGATACAGGTGAACTGGGGGAGCTATAGAGAGAGAGAGGGAGGGGGGAAATGGGGAGAGGAGGGGTGGGGGAGAGATACAGGTGAACTGGGGGAGCTATAGAGAGAGAGGGAGGGGGGAAATGGGGAGAGGAGGGGTGGGGAGAGATACAGGTGAACTGGGGGAGCTATAGAGAGAGATGGAGGGGGGGAATGGGGAGAGGAGGGGTGGGGGAGAGATACAGGTGAACTGGGGGAGCTATAGAGAGAAAGGGAGGGGGGGAATGGGGAGAGGAGGAATTGAGATAGGGAGAGATTGAACCTGACACAGACAGGAGGGAAAAGGAGAGAGAGAGAGAAGAGGGGAAGGAGAGAGAAGAGGGGAAGGAAAGAGAGAGAAACTGTGAGGGGGGGGGGATTGAGGGGATGGGAGAGAGACAGATGAAATGGGGGATGTAGAGAGGGGGGGAATGGTAAGAGAGAGAAAGAGGGAAGTTGGGGGAGAGGGAAAACCCTCCAGGAGGTGCATTTTGCGGGCAATAGTATGGGGGAAAAGGCTGAATGTTACCCTGGTTGAGGGGGGGGGGGGGGGGGTACTAAGGGCCGGGGGGGGGGGGGGGGGGTGATAGTGGTGATGGAGAGGCTCTGAGTGCGGCTCTGTCTGTCTCTAATGTAACTTTACCCCATCAGTAGCTCTCACACACATTCACTCTCACAAACACACTCACTCTCACTCACACACCCACACTCACTCTCACACACACACACTCACACACACTCACTCTCACACACACTCACTCTCACACACACACACACACCAGCTGGTGTGACTGACCTGTCTGCTTCTGTCTCCCTGTAACCTTGACAGATAGGCACAGAGAGTGAGGTGTGGTCAGACCAGGCGATGCTCTTGTTTGTCCCTGTCCCACTGGCCTGTTACCCCCACCCCACACACACACACCCCCACACACTGCCACCCCCCCACACACACCCCCACCTCTCTCTCTGTCTCTCTCTCTCTCTCTGTGAACCCAGTGACTGCGCTAAACACCCTCCCCTCCGGCTCCCGGGCTGTGCAGCACAGTGAGAGTGAGCTCAATGGGGAGTGATGTCTGGGTGTGTTGTGACACGCTTTCTTGTCTGTTGGTTTGGTATGTGTGTGAGAGTGAGAGCAGTGTATGTGTGTGAGAGTGAGAGCAGTGTATGTGTGTGTGTGTGTGTGAGAGCAGTGTGTGTGTGAGTGAGTGAGAGAGAGCAGTGTGTGTGAGTGAGAGCACTGTGTGTGTGTGAGTGAGAGCAGTGTGTGTGAGTGAGAGCAGTGTGTGTGTGTGAGAGTGAGAGCAGTGTGTGTGTGTGAGTGAGAGCAGTGTGTGTGTGAGAGCAGTGTGTGTGAGTGAGAGCAGTGTGTGTGTGAGAGCAGTTTGTGTGAGTGAGAGCAGTGTGTGTGTGTGTGTGTGTGAGAGAGAGCAGTGTGTGTGTGTGAGAGTGAGAGCAGTGTGTGAGAGAGTAGTGTGTGTGTGAGTGAGTAAGTGTGTCTGTGTGTGAGCGAGAGTAGTGTGTGTGTGAGTGAGTGAGTGAGTGAGCGAGAGTAGTGTGTGTGTGAGTGAGTGAGTGAGTGAGCGAGAGTAGTGTGTGTGTGAGCGAGAGCTGTGTGTGTGTGTGTGAGAGAGAGTGAGAGCAGTGTGTGTGTGTGTGTGAGTGAGAGCAGTGTGTGTGTGTGTGAGAGAGAGCAGTGTGTGTGTGTGTGTGAGAGTGAGAGCAGTGTGAGAGAGTAGTGTGTGTGTGAGTGAGTGAGTGAGTGAGTAGTGTGTCTGTGTGTGAGCGAGAGTAGTGTGTGTGTGAGCGAGAGCTGTGTGTGTGAGAGAGAGAGCAGTGTGTGTGTGTGAGAGAGTTATTTCAGACCCACCAGGACATTGATCCCAGCCTGAGAGCTCTGGTCAGCCTCAGCTTGACTAAGTGCCTCCCTACACATACCCGCGCAGCACATGTACGGCCACACACAAAACACACAACCGCTTTTAACAGTGCCGTCTGCCTCTGACACTCTCACTCCCTCCCACCATCACACTCAGCCCAGCAGCTAATTCCTTAACCAAAGTTTTTTTGGGGTTCAGCCGGATATCTGACCACAAACAGAAACCCATCACCTTGAGAGTCTCCAAACCAAGCTGAGATTTCCAGGCATCCCACCTGCACGTGGACATCCCGGAGAGAAATTGTTGGAATGGAACGCGCCCTCTCTCGGGGGGGGGGCAACGCAACCCGTTTTTACCTAATTCAGGAGACTATTAGGCACAGGTCGGCGAGAGCCGAGGCTTGGGGAAAGAGTGTTGGGGTAACTGCTGGAGTCTAACCAGCTAAAGCCGCAGAGCTTGCTATTGACAGCAATGCCCGGCAACCGAAGAATAAATTGATTGAAGGAGCAGGGAGCTGGGATGAGGATAGGCGTCTCGCTGGGGGGGGAACGGGCAGAGACTGACAGTGGGTTGAGCGACCTCCTGCCGTGCGGTGGGATTCTGTGAATGTCCTGAGTTGTACGTTAATTTGAAGCGAACTGAACAGCTCAGTCTTCTCCCACTATAATTTGGTCACTCAATCCACGACTGTTTGTGGTGGGACACTGCTGCGCGCAATTGGCTGCCGCGTTTCGCCCACAAATACAGTTGACTGACTTTACAATGTATTGTGTCAAGCTCTTTGAGACACCTCAACGACATGATTAGGTGCTAGATCAAAGGCAAGGATTATTACTATTGTTATTACTTTCTGTTCCTGTTATAATCTTTCACATTTGCACCCTTTGTAATGGCTCCGCAGATATGAAGACTTCTTTTGGTTAATTCTCGTATTTCCTAGTTTTACACAGGAGCAGACCGTTCCCACTCCCCTTTTTTCCATCTCTTTTCAGCGTTCTCTCTCTCTCTCTCTTCCCGCTGCTCTCTCTCCTCTCCGCCAACCTCCCGTCTGCCATGTTCTTGGTCTCAGTGTCTCTCTGGCTTGTTCCCCGCAGGTCATCCCGGAAGGCGCTGAGGATGGCTGGAGGGTGTTCAGCTCTGCTCCCGACAGCGAGGGCAGGTGCATCTGCACCGTGGTGGCCCCACAGCAGACACTGTGCTCCCGGGACGCTAGGACCAAGCAGCTGAGACAGCTACTGGAGAAGGTAAGACAGGCAGCCATCGCTTCGGCTTCATCCCCAGACCCGCACTCACTCACTCACCCACCCACCCAGCCGCCCAGTCCGCACCATGCACTCAGACCAGCCTCTCGTTTAACCCAGTGCCTATACCATCCAGACGTCTCAAACTGCTTTACACGTCGTGTATTTCGCACACAAAATACGCAGTAAATTCACTGCACAGTCTATTCTGTGAAGCGCTTTGAGACGTCTCGAAGACGCGATAAGGCGCTACATCAAATGCGAGGTTTATTATTATTATTAATTATTATTTGCAAATAAAAGCGACACCAACTTGCAGCCCGTAAAGTCCTTCAAACAGCCGCGAACTGAACGACAATTTTATCTGGGGGATTGTCGGCCAGGACACCGGGGGAGAGAGAAACTCCCATCCCCTTTTTGAACAATGCCTCGGGATATTTAACACCTCCATCTGAACAGGCACAGACGGGACCTCAGATTAACGTCTCAACTCGAGGACGGCACCTCTGACAGCATTACCCCAGCACTGCACTGAAAATTTTTGTTTAAAAACAAGCCATGTGTCGCTGCTGTACTGTGTTGCAAGGTTTTACCGTGTCTGTGTGTGCTATATAACAACACACTGTGTTACTGGGTATAACGCTCTGTGTCCAGTTATATAATAACACATCATGTGTTACCGCTAAAAACATTGTCTATATTATATAACACACATGTTATTGGGTGTAACACACTCTGTGTGTACACTGTATAACACACTGTCTTACTGGGCCAGAAACATTTCTGTATATACAGAACACACCATCCTTTGAAGGATATAAAGGCAATGAAGGAGACTCAGTGAAGATTGATGAGAATGCTGTTAGGGCTGAGGGTTCCACTAATGAAGAGAGACTTGGGAAGCTGCAAGTACCTCTCACCAGCAGGTGTTACAGCCACTCTGGCTCAGTGAGCGCTGCTCTGGGTGGAAAGAAAAACAGTCGGTGTCAGCTAGGCTCAGGCAATCATTCTCGGGAGAACTGTTCTGGGTTCACCGTGCAGGCTGATGTTGCAGGGCAGTGTTGGGGGGGGAACGCTGTATTGTCAGAAGTGCCGTCCTTTGAAGGAAATATTAAACCGAGGTCCTATCTGTGCCTGGTCAGGGGGATGTTAAAGATCCCATGACGCTAAACGAGGAGGGAGTTTCTCCCGGCGTTCTGGCCGACAATCTGACAGATAAATCAGTCATTCGCTTTGTGACCGTAGGACTTGGCTCCACGCAAATTAGCTGTTGCTTTTGTCTCCCCAAAAAATCCAGTCACTGTGCTTGACACCGTACCTGTGGAGCACTTGGAACATGTTAACATTACCAGCACTGTATCAAATGCAAGGATTATTATAATAACCGACCCCAGCTCGAGGCTGGCACTGGCCTGTTCAATGTCCTCCGCCCCACCATCGGCAGTCGGGCCTTCAGCCTTTCTGCCCCTGCCCGCTGGAACTCCACCCCAGAGTCCCTATGCCTCGCACCCTCCCTTGCCTCCCTTCAAGGCCCTTCTCAAGACCTTCCTCTTTGATCGTGATTTCGGCCACACCCCTACTCTCCACCCCTCTTGATTTGCAAACCCAGGGCAAACCCTCAGGACAACCTCAACGTGAAAGGCACTGTATCAATATGATTTCTTGTTGTTGGGTGTGTGATGGTTTGAGGAGACAGACACTCAATGACTCCCTCTTGACACAGGTGCAGAACATGACTCAGTCCATCGAGGTGCTTGACCGACGTACACAGAGAGACCTACAGTACGTGGAGAAAATGGAGACACAGATGAGAGGCCTGGAAACTAAGTTCAAACAAGTGGAGGAGAACCATAAAGCACATTTGTCCCGGCAGTTTCAGGTACTGGAGAGGAGCCATGGCTCATAAACATGGGAGGGGACAAGAATGGATGACTTTAAGGTTATTAAAAATGAGCGTGAAAGGACAAAGTTTAGGCAGAATGTTTTAATGGGGTGGCTGATGGTGAGTTGTCAATTGTGGCCACTTAAAGTGGAATTAGACAGACACACATGGAGGAAGGGGATGAGAAGGCATAGGGAAAGAGCAGGGGATTGGGATCAAATGGCTTTGTTGGAGGAGCGAACCTCATAGTCATTGGGTTTTGTGTGTGTGGGACAGACTCACTGATCCCTGTTAGGTCCCAGCTGTTATCCTGGTCTTAATATTACAGTCTGTGCAGTTATAACCTGGTGCTCCTGCCATCATGGCCCATTGATTCACCTGCAAATCTGTGCAGTCAATGCAACTGGTGACTTAAAGTGAAAAGGAATTTGGGTTTCTCTACACTGGCACAGGCTGACATCTCCCTTCTCCCCACTGTTGTCTGTTTTTATACGGATTCTTGGAAAAATCAATAGGTGCAGCCATTTCATCCACCCGGTGATGAAACCTGGTCACGGAGCGGGGCACCCTGAGAACGCCCATTTCCCCCTTTCTCCACAGGTGTCCAGCAAATTAGCAGACTGAGCTCCATCCTGGATGGAGAGAGAGTGCCGTGCAAATGTTGGCAAACAAAATGTCTACCTGACATTTCACCTCTGGACAGTGCGCTTGAATTCAGCCCAGACCAGACCGCAGGGACAGAGGTGTCCTCTCAGATGTCGGCTGGAGGGGGCTGGGACCAATGGCCAGTGACTATGGCCAGTTTCAATCTAATTGTCCATTCGTCTGCAAATACACAGTCATTACACTTTACAAAAACCTCTGTGAAATGCTTTGACATTCTCAAGCCCTATATAATATGGAAGGATTTTTATTATTATTATTAGTTCTCAGTGGGTGTCGCTAAATATCATCGTCCCTAAAATTGCCATCACCACTCACACTAAATTTTCACTCAAACTCTGAGGGTTGGGGTAAAGCTGGACCAAGGAAATCAGTTTAAAACTCAGATGTAAAGCTCTATAAATTTCCCAGCCTTCAGAGGTTGAACCCCATTAATGGGATCGTGGAGTGCCGTAGCTCAGTGCACGGTTAGAGCACTCGCCTCCCAAGCGAGAGACCTGGGTTTGATTCCCGGCAGAACAAAACCTTAGGCAACTTTCTTTACTCCACAGGCCTTCAAAGATTCAACCCCATTAATGGGATCGTGGATAATAATAATCCCTCAAGAAAATAATAATAATAATAAATTAGTCACTTCAAACCATAGCCATTTGTGGGACACTACTGTGTGCAATTGGCTGCCGCATTTTTCCCACAAATATTACAGTCAATTCACTTTACAATATTCTGTGAAGCGCTTTGAAATGTCTAGAAGACATGAAAAGCGTTATATCAAATGCAAGGTTATCATTATCATAATTATTGTGTCGAGAGCATCAGGAACCTAGGCATCGGGTTCTTCCACCACAAATCCGCTCCCTGACCAGGACCTCTCCAACCTCTGCAACAGCACCCGTCTGTGACTATACCTCACACCCAACGCAGTTGAAACTGTCACCTTCCACATCAATTTCTCCAATGCTCTCCTTGACAGTCTCCCCAGCTCCACCATCCATAAAAATCCAACTGATTCAGAGCTCCACTGCCTTGAATTCTCACCTGAACTAAACTCCGCACCCCCATCACCCCAGTCCTTGCTAGGCTTCACTGGCTCCTCAGTGCAGAATGGATCGATATCAAGATTGTCACACTTGCTTGCGCGTAGGCTGTTTATTTGCACATCTCACAAACACAAAGTGTAATAGAACATTTAAACCTCCATGTTTGTCTGCCTGGTTCAGTCACTCATGCTCTTGATTCTGGGTCAAGGGGTTGTGGGTTCAAGCCCCACATCGGGGACTTTGAGCTCACGGTCGAGGCTGAGACTCCTATCCAGTGTGGGGGAGCACTACATTGTCAGAGCCGCCATCCTTCGCTTGAGATGTCTATGCCTGTTCAGGTGGACATTAAAGATCCTATGAGTTATTGGAAACGAGAAGAGTTTTTCCTTATGACCTGACTGACAACCCTCCAAATTAATTAGCCATTCACCTCACGGATGGATGTATGCGTGGGAACTTGCCGTGCGCAAAATGACTGCTGCGTTTGCCTACGAAACGCACAGTCACTACACTGGGCAGAAATTCCCTGAAAAGCTCTTTGAGCCGGTTTGACGTTGTAGTCATCACCGTCAACAATCCAACGTCCAAATAAAATGCCTCACTCATTTCGTGGCTGTTTGTGGGACGTCGCGATCGGACATACGACACACAGCCCCTACACTTTACAGTGTATCCTGCAAAGTCTTTCGAGACGTCCTCCTGACGTAAAAAATGGGACTGTAGAAACTCGAGGCTTACTGTGAACATCACAGGCGTGCAAATCACGGTCAATTCACTTTACAGTACATTCTGCGAAGCGCTTTGAGACGTCTCGAAGACGCAATAAGGCGTTATATCAAATGCAAGGATTATTCTGATTATTACTATTATCAGACCCAGGGATTTTTTTCCTTTGGGATCGAGGGGCTGAGGAGGAGGAGGAGAAGGAGTGTGGGGGGGGGGGTGGGGGGGTGGGGGGGGCGGGAAGCGAAGAGGGTCTTATTTTAACCGCTGTTATGAATGGGATTGTAACTGACGGAGGTAGGAGAAAGCAGCCAGTTCCTCAACAGTATCTCATTTTCTTGCAGGGATAACATTAAAGACATTTTTTGAAAAACAGCTCTGAGCGGAGGTGCCCTGCACGAGGGAGCTCTCACACGACCCAATTGATTTTTTGACCATTTTAAAGCACCTCTCTCTTTACCTTTATCACTAACCCCATGAGAGCAAGAGCTGCAACACTACAAGCATGTCAATGGTGAATGCTACGTCATTTTTTTTCTTAAAAAAAAAAGTTTAAAAAAAAAAGGAAACAAACCCCAAAAAAAAAAAATACAATTGTGGATGCATCTTCCAGAACCTGTGTACGTGACAATGCATGTATATTCCAAAAACTTATCGCATTCTAAAAAATAATAAAAAAAATAAAGATTTTTCCAAATTGCATTGGTGTGCTGCAGACTCCGTCCTTTACAGACACATTAAAAACCGCGGTTTAGGGTGTTAGGTTTCAGAGACTGGGGGGGGGGGGGTGGAGGGCAGTTTTGGCCATGTCACAGAGAGCGAGAGAGCGAGAGAGAGAGAGAGAGAGAGAGAGCTAGAGCAGAGGTCTGAGGCAGGGGGTTGTAAGGGGATTATCGCTTCTGCCACTGAACACGGCTTATTTTAATTTTCAGGCCCTTAAATCGAAAATGGATGAACTTATGCCCTTGATCCCAGTCTTGGAACAGTACAGAGCTGATGCCAAACTGGTCCTGCAGTTTAAAGAAGAGGTCAGGAATCTCTCATCGGTGCTAGCCGAACTGCAGGAGGAGATTGGAGCCTATGACTACGAAGAGCTGCAAAGCAGAGTGACTAATCTTGAAGAAAGGCTGCGTGCTTGCATGCAGAAATTAGGTAGGATCAGACTGCGATTTAACTGCGCACGTGGACACATGTTACATGTTACTGAAGATATCAGCCCGTACCATCCACCCACCCACCCCCACCACGCCACCCCACCCCACCCCCCACCGCGCTCCACCACCGACCCAGACGTGTGTACAGTATGGGGAGTTCGGGCAGACCAGTTAGCATCGAGAGTGACCAGCTCCACATTTGCGTTTGCGTGTGCACCCACACGCGCACGCGTATACACACAAATGCATATACACACTCGTACGTATTTGTTGCACGCTGTCCTGCACGCACGCACACAATGAAGACTTGCGCACACACATGCACGCTCACAGGCGCATATAAATGTACACGCACGTGAATACATGCATAGAGGCACATGCGCGCACGAGCGCCGACTTCTGCACGCGCACAAGCAAATAGACACGCACGTACTCTCGCAAATCATGATGGCACCTCAACATCAAAATTCAGGCAACTGGTGGAGAGTGGGGCAGAGGGCTGGGTGGGGGGGTGGGGGAGTGTGAGCGGGTGGTTGAAGGGGCAAGTGGGGGGTGGTGAATGAGTAGGGTTGATAAGGCAGAGGGAGAACATTCTCGTTCCACCCCTATGCTCTATCCCCCCCTCCCCCCGGAGTGACAGAGACAGAGGCCTGGGCCCAGGGTTTCCCAGGAATGGGTCATAGAAGCCAAAGATGGCAGCCAACGCCTGACTGAAGCAGAGCTGAGCGTGACGGAGTCTGACTGCCTGTCACTCTTAACACTTTCAGCTTGTGGCAAACTGACGGGAATAAGCAACCCCTTAACAGTAAAGACCTCGGGATCGCGGTTTGGAGCCTGGATGACTGACCCAGCGACGCCCGAAGGAGACACTACGGTAGGTTCTGCCGATTGTATCAGCCATGGCACAGCAGCAGGAGAGGCCAGCAACGAGCAACTGGTGAGGTCACCCACCGACCGCGGATAACTTGGCAGCAAATTAGTCAAACCTGGGAATCATACTGAGGCCCAGTGACTGACAGAGACGGGGGTAACAAGGCCTGCCAGGTCTCAGCTTATTTGTGAAGCCCTTTGAGCTGTCTCGAAGATGTGATAAGGCGTAATTGTGGGCAGAAACAACGGCTGTTTACACCGGAACGGAGAAGGCCGAGAGGCGAGGTGTTTGATAAATGTAACCAGGGAGAAACCCTTCCCGCAGGTGGGTGATTAGAGGGCTTCGAGTTAAGATCATCACCAAAAAAAAACAGTGAGATCTTAAATCCCCAACTAGTGGCTCTGCTCCTCAGAGGGAGGGGGAGGAAGGAAGGAAGGAAGGGAGTGAGTGAGCGAGTGAGTGAGGTCTCCTTGGAGCTTAACTGACTCCAGGGTAACATCCTTGGCAACAGAATGTCAGAATCAAGTCGCCCCTCTGTGACGGTCTCTCGTTTGGTTCGTGAGCCAAGTTCTCCAGGGCACTGCTGATGGCAGACCAGCAATGCAGGCTTGTTGGCAGGACGTGGAGGTTCAGACCAGTCATTGGGAGCAGGGATTCTTCCCACCTGCAAGCCGATGGGGAGGGTGATCCCAGCTGGACAAGCAGCGGGAAGCTTGCTAGGCAATGCTCTCAGTGGCAAGCTTTGCCTTTTCTTGCGCTGGCAGCAGTTACCCCAAGGCACACTCTGGGTTCTCACCAATTTATGCCTAATACTCTCCTGAATTAGGGTACATCCCTCAAGGGAGAGAGAGAGAGAGAGAGAGAGAGTGCGCATTCCATTCAGTCACAGGGAAACATCCATGCGTACGGGAGCATACACCTAGGAAGTTCTGTCTGATAGTGTTGATGCTCGATGCTGGGTTTCTGTGGGTGTCAGACACCTGGTTGACCAAAACAAATGTGTGGACAGAATCAGGGCTGTGATGCTCTGCTGACACTGAACGTTCGACCTCACATGGGAGATTCCTGTCTCTCAGTGTGTCGCCACGCCTGGGGGAAACCACAACTCACGGGTCAGTTACTTCATGTTCCCGACCTGACTGGAGCAAAGCGCTGAGGTAAGAAGCTAAAGTCAGGTGAGATTTAACCCTCGAATGTAACGTCGACCAACTTATTGACGATGCTCTTGAGGGATCAACTTTGGGAAGCGAAGAGTTGCGCTGTCTTGGAACGATTATGTATTTAGCGAACCCCGGGGCAATTGCAAACCAGCCTGTAAGTCGGACCCGTGGTGTTAATCCAAGCAAAGGGCAGTGAGCTCGCTAAGAGTGCAAGTTACAATCTGTAAAGAGAGTTAAGAGAGATGGAGACATTATACTGAATTTCGATTTAATTCACACTTGCATTTTAATAACGCCTTATGACAAAACATCTCAGAGCACTTTAACTTAGTTGCTGTAAAGCGTAGTGACTGTTCTAGACTACGCATGTTGGCTGAGTATTCGTCCATGGGAGACATCAAACCCACCTTCCGCAAACGCCCACACACACAGCTTCCGGCAATGGGTCTCTAGTTAGTGATTAAAACGTAGGAGGAAGTGAAGCCTGAAAGAGGGACCTACTTAATCCAATGGAGCGAACACTGGCACAGACTCGATGAGGTGGACAGCCTTAATAGCCTGTGTGTTTGTGTGTGTATGTGTGTGTATGAATACCAACTCGATGTGGTGGAAAGTGTGCAGTAAACTTTCAGTGATTGCGTCGACAGTGTCAGCTGGTTGAGAGGTCCTGACGCTGTACCAGTGCGGGGATTACTCTAACCGACGTGCCGTGCATGTGTTTTTTTCTCTGTTCAGGTATATTACATGGACGGCTATCACAACAACCGCTTTGTGCGCGTCTACAAGTCCCTGCAGAACTTCATGAACGCCGACAACTTCACAGTCCACCGGCTGCCCCACCCATGGTCTGGCACCGGGCAGGTGGTCTACAACCGAACGCTGTACTTCAACAAGTACCAGAGCCACATCATCATCAGGTTCTACATCCCGAGTGAGCGTCTGCTGACCCAGCGCAGCTTGCCCTACGCCGGCTACAACAACATGTACCCCTACTCCTGGGGCGGCCACTCCGACATCGACCTGATGGTGGACGAGAGCGGCCTGTGGGCTGTGTACGCCACCAACCAGAACGCGGGCAACATCGTGATCAGCAAGCTGGATCTGACCACGCTGGAGGTGCTACAGTCCTGGAACACAGGCTACCCCAAGCGCAGTGCGGGAGAGGCCTTCATGATCTGCGGGACTCTATACATGACCAACTCCCACCTGGGGGGAGCCAAGGTCTATTACTCCTATAACACCAACACATCTACCTATGAGTACACTGACATCCAGTTCCACAACCAATACTCCCACATCTCTATGCTGGATTACAACCCCAAGGATAGAGCGCTCTATGCTTGGAATAACGGTCACCAAGTCCTGTATAACGTCACCTTATTCCACATCATCAAATCGGATGAATTGTAGTCCACACCGTGGAGCGGTAGGAGAATCCATGTAAAGATAATATATTCTGGTGAGATCGCAGGCAAAACTGGACTCTTTTAAATCATTAGTTCTGGATTGTTATAGCGTCTGTTTTTTTTTAAATCGAATAAAGCATGACCCATTTCTGTTTCTGAATTCAACGTTTAACGGATAATTGACATTTAAATGCTGAAAATGTAAGTTTCACGACTTCCCTCGACTTCTCCCCCAAAACTCGACGCTGTGTCGGAGCTCGGAAGCACTGAGGCCTCGGCACAGAGAATCCCGGGAATGAGACATCTTTGGAACGATGATTCCCGGGGAGCAGGGCTGGGCGGGAGGGAGTATCCGCCTTGCTGAGTCCTGGATGTTTGGGCTGGAGAAAGTGAGGGTCGGGCCGGTGGTGGGGGTGGGGGGGGGGTTCATGAAGTAGTGGGGTGGGTGAGGTGAGATGGAGGAGATAAACTTTGACCCCCTCCACCTTCCCTGAGCATCGTGGAGTGAAACCTTGGAACAGTGACAATTACCACCAAAAATCAGCTTCAAAGACTTTGCCCTTGTTTAACTGTCAGAGGCACTGTGTGATTCCCCCTCAAATCACCAGAGCAAAATTCCGTACTGTATCTCTCGCTTGTTGATGTAGTCTTTAATGGGAAGGAATTTGCTGTTTAATATAAACAGGTTTGATATTTTTCAGTGAGCCTGCCGTGCTATGTATCGTCTCTGTGCGTCCAGATATTTGGTGGCAGGTTGCCAGGGTCCATTTACTACCTGTGTGTTGTATAGTTCCACCTAAGGTGCCATAGGGTTAGGCCGCATTCATTCTAGGTACGTTCACATTAGCACCTGGTGATCTGATTTCTGTTACGAATTTTACTTATCTGTTTGTGGAGCAACCTCAGTGTAAGCGTTTCCTGGTGTTGGGTCCTCGTGTGTGCGAGACTTGGGAGAGGCAACACACAGACATGCTCGTGCCTCAATGGTCAGCGTCTGAGTTTCAGTCTTATTGAAAACTTATTTCATTCTCTACAAGAACTGGATCGATTGTGTGTGTGTGTGAATGTGAGTGATGGTGTGTTTCTGTGAGTGTGTGTGTAACAGTGTGACTGTGAGTGTGACTGTATGTATGTTTGTAAGTGGGAGTGTGTAAGAGTGTTTGCATAAGTGTGACCGTATGCACACTGTATGAAGAGTATAAAGGTGACTTGAATATGTTATGAAAGTGTGATGATGTATGTTTGTGTACTTGTGTGTTTGTGTAAGAGTGTGAGAGAGAATGTGCACATAATCCTGTTTGTATATGTTGTGTGTGCATGTACACCTGTGTGTGTGTATATACAGGTAAACCTGTGTGTAGATACACACAAGCCTCTGTATATGCATACGTGCACACCGATGGATGCGAATGTAACCGTACACGTGTGTGTCTGTGTGCGTGTGTATATGCATACGCCTATGTGTGTGTGTATGAATACCCTCTCTGTGTTTATATGGCTCTGTGTATGTGGACCCATTTGTCTCTTATGTGTGTGCATGCATATGCTTCTGTGTGTATTCACATACACTTGTGTGTGTGTGTGTGTACGTACGCCTGTGTGTATGCATGCATATGTTTCAGTATGTTAACGCGTATGCCTGTGTGTGTGTGTGCTCACTGTGAATGCACCGCGTGCGTGCGTGTACTATGTCTGTGTGAATCTGTGTTCACCCTGCGTGCATGTATGTGTAGCCTGTGTACATGTGTCTGTTTCACTGTATGTGTATGCGTGCGGGTGTATGTCTGTGTATACACTAAAACCCCGGCTCGCCGGACAAATGGGTGGAGGGGGAAAGGGGAGATCCAGTCTGGCGGAATTTCCAGCTAAGTGTAATTACAATGCCGTTAGCGTCATCTACCGACTTTTTTCAGTGCAGATAAATGCCGGTACCGGCATTGTAAATGTTTGAATCCCACGAATAGAAGATTGTGACTAAACTACCTTCTGCTTACGGGATTCAATTGGAGTCAAAGTGAACATCTAGGTCCACTGAAGGCCAGCGAGCACGGTGAGGGGGAAGTGTGGGGTGAGAGAGTGGCCGGTTGGAGTCTATACGCGCGAGCGAGGGCTCGTGGAGATATTATAGATGTTTCCGGTTTGGGCCCCGTCCGACTAGGAATGATTCCCGGAGTCCGGTAAACCGGGCATTACTGTATGTGATCTTGTCTTTTTTCGACTGAAAAATTAACTAAGAGAAAAGTTGCCAGAGGCTGTTAATGACTGTTGTTACAGGTAACGAACATGACTGTTAAATTTAATCTCTGTATCCCCTCTTTATATTTTGTCATTAAAAGGACTGGAATGGTTAGAGCTGAGTGACCAGAGGTGAAACCAATCCTTGACTCTGTGGATTAATCATTGACCTGAACGAGTGATTGATTTTCGACCTGTTTGTAATACACAAGTCTCGGAAGTCAGGACTCAGCCCAGGCGGATGGGGGGTTGGGTAGGGGGGGAGAGAAGCACTCAACTTTTACCAGCTTTAATGAGAAAGAGTCAGCCTGGGTCAGTACCACTCGCCTCTGAGTCAGAAGATTGTGAGTTGAAGCCCCACATTGGAAGTTTTATCTCCTTGCCCAGGCTGATGGGGAGCGGAGGCGAGGGGAGGGGGTTTGCTGCATTATTGGAAGTGCCGTCCCTCAGATGAGACGTCAAACCAAGGCCCTGTCTGTCTGTCTGCCTGTTCAGCTGGATGTTAAAGATCATATGGTACTATTTGCAAAGAGAAGAGAGTTCCTCTCTCCCAGTGTCATCCCTGGATAAAATCAGTCACTCACTTCATGGCTGTTTCATTGCCTGCTAAGTGGTTGCAGCCAAATACACAACTCGTCCACAAATACGCACTCACTACACTTCACAGTGTATCCTGTGAAGGGCTTTAAGTCAATCGGTCCTGACGGGAAAGATGCTAATCAAATGCAAGTATTATTTTTATTTATAATAAAGGTTTATGGCTCCCATTACCCTCCACTGTAATTTCCACGGTTGAAGATCAAACATGGAAAGCCAGGATTTAATTCACGTGCTTGGCAAATATGGCTCTTCCTCTCAGTGTGTTTAATAACCCTCTCTACCCTCCCCCCTCTCCCCCTCCCCCCCACCCCATCTCACCACCACAATGTCTGACGGCCAAGTTAGGAGTGGAGCTGAATCAGACTGGGTAGACTGGGGTTATATTACGACAACAACTTGCACATATAGTGCCCTCCATGCAGGGTAGGGTCTCTGAGCGCTTAATGCAATACGTGTTTATGTAGAGCCTCTCACATCAGGAGGACGTTTCAAAGAGCTGACACGGCTGCCTGAGCACCTGAGTCCGCAAGGCTGGGGAGGGAACTGACATGTTAGAGCAGCGCCGATAAAACTACAGCCCGCGGCCTGTGAAAAAGCAGCCCGACCCCCCAACCCGACCTCCGAGCATTTGCACAAGTCTAGTTAAGTCCGGTCTGTGTTCCATCAGTTGAATGTTTCTAGGCTTTTCTTGATTGAGAAATATTTAATCAACATTTATCACGTAAAGAAACTTCAACCACGATTCCTGAAGAGACGCAAAGAGACAACAGTCACAGACGCAGGATTTTCATTTGGCAAGCACTAAGTCCAGGTCCTGCGTACCGAAGGGCTTTGTACCTGCTTCCCAGAAGGTGGTCCCAAACCTGCACTTGCCAATATCTCGCACAGGGGCTTTGCACAGATGAAATGCTGGGCAGTACAGCAAAGCCTTCTTACCTGGGCCACACCATCTAATAAGCTCATCATCATGCAGCAACACAAACCTAAATCTCAAATACTCTCCATCCTGCTGGATAAGCACACAGCAGAGAGCCCTTCAGAGATTACAATCGACTCAAATCACCGGAGTGACCTCTAACAAGAATCTATATAAAGCTCCTTCCACCCTCTGATGTCGCAAGATCAGAGCTAACCTCCCGACCTCTGTCTCTCTCTCTCTCTCTCTTGTTCTCACAGGAAGGTGGGATGGAAAGAGAATGTCTTGAGGAGTGAGTATCCAGGAGTCACGACTTAACACATGAAGCAAAATTACCGCAACGTTTTTCATTATCGAAACATAGCCTGCATGATGCCACACAAACAACATTGCTGAACTTATCGCGGGGTTAACTGACCTGTCGATTGAGGGGTGGCTCTGTAATCTCGAAAACTGGTCGCCATCTTAGAAATGTACTCTCCCTCCCCCGCCCGCAGTTCCCACCGGCCTCTCGATAACACGCGACCTCATTAAAAGATTATCAGCAAGTTATCTTTACTTAGTAAATAAGAACACTTAAGATGGTGGCACCAACAATGTCCTCGTCCCACCTCAACACCCAGAAAGGGATCCAATCGGAAACAGCCCCCACCCAGGCCTCCTGCAGCTTCAGTCTCAGCTGGACTCGACCCCAAACTATCCAATCCGTAGAGCACCGAGAATACATAATATCTCAAAGCGCCCAACCCTGCACTGGATTGTCGGCTCTGAGCTCAAAGCCCCCGCGTGGGTTTTGAACCCACAACTTGCTGACCCAGAGCAAGAGCCAGACTTACACTGACCTGCAATCAGGAGGTGACACATCTAGGAGCCTCCATCAGAAAGATCAGCTCTTCCCTACCTGTGTCTGGGGCTGGATTGAATCCCATTCTATGGAGGTGAGGAACATCTTTCATCACCAGAGTAAAGTTGCATTATTTAAATCCTCAGAATATTCCTGCGTTTAAACAGGTGAAGATATTCTGATTACTTTAGGTTTGTGCTGGCATCTTGGCTGGCATCATGCCAACGACTGAGTGCGTGTATGGGTCAGCACACAATCATTGACATGCGTAAAGGTACACACTCATACATACAAACATACCTACAAAGAAGCACACACACAGACACACACCTCACAGACAGGTACACACATATACACACACACACACACACATGTTCGAAGGTGTGAATGGTAGAAGGAGCCTCCTGGCTCGGCCTGTGCTTACAGCCTGACACAGGAGCCTGGGTGTAAGAGGAAACGTGGGCTGAGTTGGCGGAAAGGAACTGGCTATGAATTACAGCGAGCAAATCTTGCGTCAACACCAACATTGGCGTGTGACCTGTGACCTTGGGGCTGGAACCCCGGCGCAGCCTGCGCAGGAAGCCGTGGGAAGTCGCGATGGGAAGCTGGAAAGTCAAAGAGTGAATTGGGTTTGAGTGAATCGCGGCTCAGGTTAATGCGCTTCTGACACCAGTTCAGCATCT